TTTTTCTAAGTGTTTATTCTACGTCATCCTTAAAAATAAGATCCATACTAACATGTATAATAAGATTCATACTAATATCCAACTTAACTAATAGCTAAGTTTTATAAGTTTTGTCATTCAAAGCAAGTATAATTTTAGCATTTCCATTACATTAGATAGTAATTTTAAATATTTTGCAAAAACCATTATTAAAAATGGTCAAGGAAATTTTTCAGATTTTTCAAAAAAGTCAATGAATTTTATATAAATAGTTGGCTACGAACCCTGTTGGAGAAACATTGTTTTAATATAAATTTTTTTGTTTCCTATTGCAATATGTATCTCAAACATTAACGAGAATTGTTTTGTGTCAGTTCCAAAAATTGAATGCACTACTGCAAATTTTATAATTCATAACAATAATATGAATCCATCAGCAAATTTTATATTTTTAACCTTAAAAATTTGCCCCTCTGTCATTAATTTTATCTGCTTTATTAGTAATTGTTGTATTTACTTTCATAAATTTTTAATATAATATGTAATTAGTTGTACAATTTCTTAATATTATAATTAACTTTACTGTTTTAAGATAAAGTTGTATCCTTGAAAAATATGCTGGTATTATTGGCACATTGGGCTAGTATTAAAGTGCAACTTGGAAAACTATAAAATAAATCAAATTCAGAGATAAAATATTGAGATACAAAGGTATGCTAATTTTTCTATTGCAAGAAAGAGTGTCATTGCCATTAAAAGAAGTGAAGAAATCAAGTACTCTGGAAAAAAAAGACAAGAAAGCACTTAAATAAATGGTAAATATTTTTTTATGATCTTGTTATGCATTTAGTATATCTTAGTACAATTTATATACTTTATATAAAATAGTCTTTAAAGATTTTTTGTAAATGACATTTTATAATAATTTAAGTCTAAACAAAAGTTACTTTAATTATTGCCAGGTTGTGTATTTTTGCAGGTTAATTATTTGACACAAATTGGAGTTAAAGACGAAGGAGATTGTATATAATATTTAATATGAATAGTTTTTTAAAATGGTCTAGCTGTAGAATTAAATTATGCAGGGAGAGAATAAAAAATTGAAATGAAAAAAGTGTTAATTGCAAATGTTGCTATTGGTAAGTGGTTTAGAATAGTTTATTTTTTCAGTTTCAATTTTGCATTAGAGAACTACTTTCAATTTGTTTTGTTTCTTTGGTGCATAATTAAAGAAACAACTAATTTTTTTTGCAGACTCTGTGAAGTCAAATAAGCATGGCTTATGCAGACATGCTATAGAGATGGCGAAAAAAAAATAAATAATAGGGGGCACCAAATATCATGAGCTAAACACGATTCATTAACAAGTAGCTCAGCCAATATCGAAACTACTCTATAAATTTTATAGTGAATTTTTTTTTTTAAAATTCAATTTGTCAGTTTTTGGTTTAAGTTTATTGTTTGTAATATGTGTATTTAACTGAAAAATTAAGTTAAATAAATAAATTTTTATACTTATATCATACATTTTTTTTTTCTATATCATTTTTCAATGTAGCAATGCAAATCATCTTATTTGTAACAACGATCTAATGTTGCATAAAATATTAAGCCGATAATAAAATAATAATCGTATAACATACGATATTAGGCCAATGTTGTATACAACGTTAGGCCAGTTTTATATACAACGTTGGGCCAATGTTGTTTACAATTTTGGCCTAACGTTATATACAACGTTGTGCCAATGTTGGATAAACGTTGTATACAACATTGGGCCAGTGTTGTACACAACGTTGGGTCAATACTTAACCAATGATCAAACCTGCATTGGGCCTACATCCACTTTCAACGTTAGGAAACCTGCATTGGGCCAATGCATCATCATGCATTGGCCCAATGTTGGTCCAATTTAAGGTTGCTGACTGGGATATATATATATATATATATATATATATATATATATATATATATATATATATATATATATATATATATATATATTTATATATTACCATAAATAAGTATCAAAAAAATACATATATATATATTTATATTTATAAAACATATATATATATATTTATATATATATATATATATATATATATATATATATATATATATATATATATATATATATATATATATATATATATTAAAATAACTTGATTAAAACATCTATTTTAAATCAACTTTTACTCATTAGAAACAAAGTTTCTTTCATTTGAAAAACTCCATGAAAGGGTTCTTTGGAAACTACTTTTAATATAACACAAAAATTTAAAATTATTACTTTCGCCATAATTGCATGTCCATATTCCACAATGTGATTTATCTATTTTATTTACTTGCCAATCGTCTTTAACTGCTGAAAACAATGCTAAGCCTATTCCAGCTATATCTAGCAACCAGCATAAAATATACAGTAAAAACATTATTTTACTTTTTATTTCTGAGTTTATTTTTCTTTTAACGAGGTTTTAAAAAATCGTCACAAAAAAGGTGACTAAACTACTTTATTTGATTTAATGATTTGATATCAAACATAGTTGTTTATTCTTCACAGTGAATCTTTGTAAATAAGTTTTCTAATATCCGTGAATTCATAAATTACGAAATAGTAAAACAGATTAATTTTTATTTATTAAAAATGCTTAACTTAAAGCAAGTTTTGTTTTAATTAATATAAATTGTATATAAAAAGCAAAATTTTTTCCTCCGTTTATTTTTTTTCTTATTGATTAAGACCTGTAATATTTTTTGCTTTTTGTTTTTAATTGACTTTATATATAACTTATGTAAAAAAGTCGATAGGTGTCTTATTTGGTGAAATATGTGTCCGCATTTCAAAACTTGGAAATTTTTTTTGTTAGTCAGTTAATAATTTAATTGTTATTTTCGAAGAGCAGTTTTGATGGACATAAAGTCCATTTTTTGGATAAAGTCTTTTGATATTATTTTTAATTAATGGTTTACGATACTTTCTATATAAATACTTGAATTAAGTTTAATCCTTGAGATGGTAATCCTTTTGGACAAAAGGATAAAAATCTCTTTTATATCCATAATAATTTTCCTCACCATACCATGAGTTTAGAAAGTTCTTTTTATTAGGGTACACTTGGTGCTTTTTGATATTTATTTATGTTAATATATTTGGGTTTTTGATCACACTTAGTAAGTTCAAATAGTTTTTTATCATTTATAATAATATTTGCCCAGTTTTCCTTAAGAAATCCGTAAAGTTTTTGAATCTTTTAAACCTTCCCTCAATCGCTAAAAGGCAAATAAGTCTTTACTATTCAATTTGGTATACAGATATTTTTTTTCTTTCATGCTCCCTTATTTTATGAGAATTAAAGATTGTTTTTCGCAAAATCAAGACTTTAACGGACTTTTCATTTACAAAAATACAGTTTCAGAATCTTTTTGCAACAAAAAAATATCCTTTTTTTAACAACAAAAAGTCAATAAAATATATATTCTTTGCAAATTTCATCTCCAAAAAAAAAAAATTAATAAATGTAGGAAGATGTATTAATTAAATAACTGGGTATGCAGTTTGAATTTTCATAAATAAGTTTTAAAAACGGATTGTAACTACAAAAATTTCGAATTTGAAATTGTTTATTCAGAAATGATAAATTTATATTAATATAAACTTTATAAAATCCTGATGAAGTTGTGCAACACTAGATATTACTATATTGACAGCTTTCAGACACGTGCTGTATCTATTGTTTGTACTTGTTCATCAATATCATTTTTAAAGGCATTTAAAACTGTGTTGGTTGCATTTGACGGAAGTGTAACTCATGCATTTACCTCGCAGTTAGTGAAAAATTGGTTCCTACCATCTCAATTTTTAGCTACTTGTTTAATTATGTATCGGTTGTTTCCTTGTAAGCTGTCATTTAATACTGATGGAATAGTAGACAGTCATTTATTAACGACGGAATTTTTTAGATAACATGAACAATTTTAGATCGAAGAAACAGATCATATTAAATTCTTTTTTTTTCAATGTTTGGAAATTTTTTTTGGAATTGGAGTCTCTCCTCATATTTTTTATTTCCAGATAAGGTTTGTTTTAGTGCATTCAAGTAATTATCAGTTTACTAAATAATCAAGCATTGTGTACACGCTTAAGAATAGTGTTGAGCCGTAGGTTACATTATATCGTATAGAATACAACATTAAGTGTAGACGCCGGCTACACCAACATTATGAAGCTTTATAGCTACATAGTGTTAGTGTATTTTATGTAGCCTTATAAATGCAACACTCAGTGTTGCTTTCGTAAGACTACATAAAATGTAGACTTTAAAGCCGCACTTTGTGGCCTTTAATGCGAGACTTTTGTAGAAAGTTTTTTGACCTAATTGTTGCATTTAATCAATGGCTATATATATAATTACGCTTTTTTTGCGCAACAAAATTGTTGTAAAAAACCTCAACATTAGTTTTGTGCTAAGTTCAACATTATAGTTGATAAAGTAATCTGTGTTTTTCTAGGCGTTATAATATTTTTGAATTTTTTGCAAGTATATACATGCGTGATTTATTCCGTCCACTTAGGTCGTCACGTACTATAAATATAACCGGGCGCAATTAAATAATTCAAATAAAGCATGTTATTTATTTTAAATAGAGTCACATACTAAACTACACATGTATGTTTTATTGGCTTACAAGAAATAACGGAATATATATATATATATATATATATATATATATATATATTTTTTGTTCTTTATTACAATATTTAATACAATATTTACAAATATATAATAAGAAAAATTTACATGCAAAAATATCGTTACAAAAAAATAAAGAATTAAGATAAAGAACGCGGATACTCAAAGAAGACCATACAGGTCTTATCACCGAGAACCGCTGTTGAAGAACTTTGATCTTAGTTTAGATTTTAGGAAAAACAAAAATAAATAAACACAAGTTTTTAACTTTTTTAAGTTATGGTCTTTATGGCTGAAATTAAAGTACTAATTCTTCTGAACCGATGATTCAAGCGAAAACAATAATATCATAGTATTCTTAATAAATAAATACGTCTCGCATCTGACTCGATTACTGATTCTTGTTACTCAAATCTATCAGTTACACTGATCTTAATTGTTAATTAATTAATAAATAAACGAAAATAATAAGAATATGATTGCACTAGGTACATCTAAATGCACTTCAAAGATTGTGTAGAAGAATTTAGATAATTATCAAATGTTGGTGCATTTACGTTAATGCTTTCGCCGACAAAAATGCTAAACCACTGTCAAAGGATGATTAACTTCCAAAAGTATCATACATACAATGCTTGGAAATACATCCAGTCACATACATCAAATTTTTTTTGTATTTTTTTTTTGTATTTTTTTTTTTGTTTTTTTTTTTTAATAATAATAATATATATATATATATTTTTTTTCATTACAAAATTAAATTCAATATTAAAAGTATATACCTTTCGTAATACAAATTATTTACAAAATTACGAAATAAAAAAAAAATTAAAGTAAACAAGTAAATAATAAATGCCTACTGTACAAATAATGTCAGTGGAACTTTTAAAAAAATTCAAATAATGATGTTTTACTACAGTTTCTGACATAAACTTTAAATCAATATTGTATAAAAGTAAAATATAAATGAGTATTGACAAAACTGGGTAAAATTAAAAGTATATAAATATATTTTCAATTGAGAATATTACTTTTTTTACTTTTCGTTTGAACATATAATAATTTCATTCATGAAAAAAATCAAAATTTTTTAAAATTATTTGGTTCCATAATAAAGCTCCACGAAAAGCAATGCAAAATTTACCAAAGTTTGTTTGAAATTTTGGTTGTTTAATAAAATTATCATTTCTTAAAGAATACTTGTTTTTTTCTTTTAAAGAATGTAAATCAAAAAAGGAAGCTGGAGAAGAGTTGGTTTTACATTTAAACATAAAACAAAGAACATTATAAACATTTACTTGATATATATTAAAAACATTCATGTTAAATAAAAGTGACCTTGAGTGAGTAAAACAATTTTTGAAATTTATAATACGTGCAATATGCTTCTGCTGACAATAAAGTGGCTTTAATTTACTTTTATGGGTACTACCCCATGCAATATTAGCATAATTAATATGACAGTGTATGAAAGAGTAATATAGTTGAGTTAGTGAATGTTTGTTTAAAACGCTTCTTGCTTTATATAAAACTCCAATGCTTTTTGCAATTTTGTTGCATAAATGTCCGATGTGATTCTTCCATGATAGATTTTCATCATCAATGATACCTAGAAAATTTGTGAAATCTACTCTTTTTATTTGAATATTATCAATATGAAGAAGAGGCATATTACTTGGAAGTAAATGTTTTTTAAATCGTGGATGAAAGAAAATTTCCATTTAGTTTTATCAATGTTGAGTGAAAGTTTATTTAACTTAAACCAGTCAGATATTTTTATTAGTTCAATGTTCATATCATAAAAAAGTTTGTCGATGTTATTATTTGATAGGAATAGGTTTGTATCATCAGCAAACATTATAGTTGTTAATTTTGAGACTTCATGGAGATCGTTAACATAAATCAGAAATAATAAGGGACATTAGACGGTTCACCTCCTTTAAAAACAGGCGTTATTTTAGCTATTTTCAATTGATCGGGGAAAATTCCTTGATTAATAGAACATTTAAAAACTATAAAAAGAATATGTTTTATGGTATTGTATGAATCTATGACTATATTACAATTTATATCATCAGGACCAACTGCTTTTTTAGTTTTAAGCATTTAAAAGCACTTTCAAATTCTGAAGAAAATACTTCAAATTTATTTAAACTAGAGATTAATGGAAACACGTAATCATTTATTGGATTAATCATATTTGGAATATTTTTAGCTAAGTTTGGGCCAACAGACACGAAATATTTATTTAATTCTCTTGCAATTTGTTTGGGTTCATATAAAAATATACCATCAACTTTTATAGTGTTAGGTATAGAGCATAATTTTAATTTACTATTTCCAGTAATTTGACTTATAATTTGCCATGTGCGTTTTGAATTATGTTTATTTTTTTTTTGTAAATCATAGTAATATCTTTTTTTAAATTTTTTTCTTTGACTTTCAAACATTTTAGCTTAATTTTTATAAATAATTTTGTTTTCTAGAGTTGGTTTTTTTAAGTACTTTATATACAGTTTTTGCTTTATCTTTGAGGATTTCCTAAGATCTTTATTGACCCATGGTGACTTTAAACTTTTATTTGTTTTAATAAACTCACGTTTTGGAAAATTTACATCATATATTTCATAGAAAGTTTGAAAGAATGTATCGTATACTTCATTAGCTTCAAACGAACTGTTTATATGATTCCAATTTATTAAAGATAATTGATCCTTAAACGACGCAAAATTAGCATTGGTGAAAAAGCGTTTGATAATGACTTTGTTATGTTGTTTTATTAATTTGTTGTCAATATTAATAGAGAAAAAAATAGGGAAGTGGT